GCGCCTACTACACCCCCTGCCTATAGTTCATGGAGACGTTATAGAGTGAGAGAGAGAGAACTATGCTTTTGGGCATATCATGGAGGACTATTTGCATTATGTTTTTTCAGCCATGCGTATTATCAATATTGTTCGGACTTTGGTATTATCATGATTGTAAAATGTAAATAAATATCAAAATCCTAATATATAAAATGACAAGGAAATCAGCTGTCTACAAGCAATATATTATAAATTGTATTAAATTATAATAGTAATATAATTATTACATTTATTAATTATTAATTAAATTATAAATTACAATACTTAATTATGGTAGTACTTACTTATTAGTTATTATTAATTACTAATTAGTTATTAGTAATTACACTGGTGACTGGTCAACAAAATGTTGTAATAAGTTAAAAGCTAACCAAGTTTATACTTTTATAGGTCATAAAGCTACACTCTCATTATAAAGTAATATTTATTTCATCAGATCTAGTTTTTGTGTTACAACTATTTACAGTAAAATCATTGGCAAGTATTTGTATTACATCATAATCAACTTTATTAACTCAAACTTATAATATAATGTAGACCACTTTTTTAATTGAAATATAATAGGTATACCTAATATTAATAATAATATAATGTTTAATATATCCTACATATTATAATGTAGTAAAATATAATATAAATTATACTTAATACATATATATATATATATTTAATAATATATAAAATATAAATAATAATATAAATAATAATATTATGCTTAATATATCCTACATATTATAATGTAGTAAAATATTATATAAGACATAAGTTATAATACATATATACATAATAATATATAAAATATAAATAATGATATTCTGAAGATATAAATAATAAATAATATAACATAATAAATATAAAACAATAACATTATTTTACTGGTGTTTAAATAGTATGACTTTTGTTAGGTGTGATCTAATTCTAAGTTTCGGCTGGCTTAGCTCTTTATTGTGGTGGTGTAGTCTAATGACAATATATTTTTTTATAATTTGTAGAACATGGTTGTTTATTGGGGACTGAGATAAAATATGTTCATTTAAACAATTAAACAATTTTTTTATATTAATATTAGACATTGTTTTAACTATTAAATAATTGATTGGATCTCCTAAATGTTTTGGCACTTGATTAATTCTTGATACAAATGTTTTTTCAGTTAATTTACAAATTTGAATTACATCAATTGATGGTTTTATGAGTCCTCCTCGATTTTTGATGTCGATCAGTGTATGGCTTTTAGTTGTACCAATCTTCAAGAGCATTACAACATGTTGGACAATTAATTGTTAGTTTTAATTGTTTGATCACAAATCCTGATATATGCTCAATGACATCTTTTTTATAAACATTTATGTCTTCTGTTTCATTATGTTGATCATCTTCATTGATATTATCTCTCTCTTCAACACAAAGTATATCCTGAAAGTTTTCTACTTTTTTCTTCTTACTACTTGAAACATGAAGAATATTAGTATTATCTAGGACTGAACAGTTTGCATTTTCAGAAATAGATAGTTCACTGCGTACCAATAATCTTTTATAGGCAGCTTCAAACTGTGAAGCTGTCGGGTTGTTATTAAAGCCTCCTTTTGATCTTATAGCCGAAAATAGAATCTCTATATGGTCTTAAGAGATTTTATAAGAAAGGATAAAACTTAACTGTCCGGTCTTAACTACATTATCAAACAACCTGCCTATACTTCTAAGACACACAATAAGCCCATTAAATCCAGTTTTCCGTGGAGATGTTAATATAGATGAATGATTTCTATCCTTTATTGTATTTAAGTATACTATAGATGAACTAATAAATTGTTTTATGTCTTCGTGATGTTCTAAATAAAGAGATCTCTTATATTGAAGTTTGCTCAAAAAGTTCCTGGTATTTAAAAAATCAAATATATTATTTATATTCTTACAAAATGTTATTGTGGATTCACAGTTATCAAAATTTGCAATTTTTTTAAATTTACAATAAAAAAGAGCATCAGCAACACTATTGCTGAACACTTGCGTAGCTAAGCAAACCTTCATTATTTCCTTTTTGTAATTAATATGCCTGCTTCTAACTTTAGTGGCTAAATGAACTCCCTCATCTTCTTGTAGCTTCACTAATTCTTTTATGTACTTCCATTCAATAGGGTTATCATTGGCATCATATAATACACCATAATCACCAAGGGTATTTCTGATCAGTTTTACCATGTGAGCCGGGTCCAAAAATATGCAAATTTCTTCATTGGTCGATGGATGTGAAAACCATGGTGTACTACTATAAAGATCTGCCCCTAAATGTCTGGCCATAGAAATATTAGAAGCAGCTCCATCAAATGTCAGTGTTTTTACAATTGCACCTGTATCATGTATATTAATTAATATTGTTTTGAGTAAGTTAGCCTTTTCTTCTGCAGTTAGTCCATGAATCAAAAAATAACCAACTGGGATCTTCCAGTGGGAATTCAAAGCAACAACCAAAAAAAAAGAGCTTCTGTAGCTTCAATCATGGCATCGGAATCATTTATCTTGTGTCCAACACTAATACCCCCTTGAGGACGCTGACCATTAAAATGAATTCCACTTCTTATGGACATTTCGTCCATAATTACGCCGCAAACTAGATTTAAATTTTTGTTTTTCATCTCCTCAACTTTGACTTTTATTGCATCCAATGATTCTGCAGTTATTCCAGGCGATCCATCAATTACAGAGTACCATTTTCGAATAGTGCTAGGATGTGGCAAACATTTATTAAAATTTTTTTGTACATAATTATAAGCATTAGGCGAATAAAAATGAAGAGTGAGCGCAAATGATCGCAATTCTGGCGTTATTGTTTTACCCGAGAGTTGGTTCAGCTGTTTCAAAATCATTTCGTGCTGACTACTTGACAACGTTTCCTAAATATTATACCAAAGCCAAAGCATAAGCAAACTAAATTTTACTACATCATACGCTAAGGTAAAGCAATAGATACTTATAAATATTTTTACCTTCAGAACAGTGTAGCAGTTATCCGATATGAGTTTTTTGTCATGTTTCAGATGATCTACTAAGTTTTCTAGTGTCTGGATTCGTTTTTTAAGTCTGCCGTTTGCTTATGTAAGTACTTAATTCGCTTTCTCTGATTACTTGTGGTCGTTTGTGAAGCAATCCAGTACTTCAATCTGCTGTTTGGGCTCTCAATATCATCAGTTGATTGAAAATCTCCCATAAAACATTTTCTTTTTCTCGACCTGATAATAAAATTAACAATAGTTTAAGTTTATGTTTGACAGTCTTGAAAATTGTTCTCTTTTGTTTGTAAATTAAAATAAACATTATATTATTGAAATCATAAGTTTTAGTATAATTATTACAGTCACAAAAATATTTTGATAATGGTAATGAATAATGATAATACGGTTATTCTGCGACTTTATTTAATGGTTTTGTAGAACTTACGGTTTTGAGTTTAATTTTTTCTCAACTGTACTAGTACTTTGTGACAATGATGGAGAAATTACAATATTAGTACCTTGAGGTACTGATGAAGGTGAAACAACATTTGAATTTGGTTTTGCTACAACTGAAATCAAAATAGCAGAAATCATCAAACAAAATCATATTACTCACATTTTAAGAAAAAGATAAATTTGGTAATCATACTAGACATGGGAGTGAATAATGGTTCAGAATTAACATCATCAGATGACAATGTAATAATTTCAGTTTCTTCATTGTCATCAGAAACAATTGACTCATTCAACAGTGTCCTACGAGCAGCTAAAGTAAATAAGTAGTAACCAATTATCTTTTAATAATTAATATAATACGAGAAAATAAGTTACATTTATATTTTAACTTACTTGGGTGATCCAAGTTTAATTTTTCTTTAACTGTATTTATACTTTGTGACAATGAAAGAGGTGAAACAACATTTGAATTCGGTTTTGCTACAACTGAAATCAAAATAGCAGAAATCATCAAACAAAATCATGTTACTCACATTTTAAGAAAAAGATAAATTTGGTAATCATACTAGACATGGGATTCAATAATGGTTCAGAATTAACATCATCAGATGACAATGTAATAATTTCAGTTTCTTCATTGTCATCAGAAACAATTGACTCATTAAACAGTGCCGTACGTGCAGCTATAGTAAATAAGTAATAACTAATAACAAATTATCTTTTAATGACAGTGACGGATCCAGGGGGGGGGGGGCTAGTGGCCCAGAGTCCAGACCCCCCAGACATATTTTTTTATAAATATAAATATTATATATCAAATAACAAATAAACAAAATCTAAGCTTCTTTTCACATTGTCGCTTTATATATTAAATAATCAATAATTTATCACATTGATTACATATACCTACCTACTATTATGACAACATTTTTAAATTAAGAATAAAGAATAATATTTTATTATAATTGTATTTGTGTTGTAAAAAAATTGTTGCCGCCCCCCAGATCTTTGCTCTGGATCCGTGCCTGTATAATAATTAATATTATATGAGAAAATAAGTTATATTTATGTTTTAACTTACTTGGGTAATCCAAGTAAGTATAATCAATCAAAGTTGGATTAATTATACTAGGCACGGAATTTTTTTTTAAAACACTAGTCTTACGATCAGTGGTCCTTGAAATTTCATAATCCAAATCTGGATCAAAATGAAGACCACATACATTTGAACTAACTTTCTTTTCAAATGATGGATTAAACTGTCTTAAATACGAAATCCTCTTATTACCAATATCTCCTTTAGGAAATCTGAAAAATAGTAAGGACCATTATTCATGTTAATTTTTATTTATAAATTAAATTTATTAAAATACCTGTGAAACCTGATATTTTGACCAGCTCTTGACTTACAGCCATAGACACAGCATTTGTTAACCATTTTGTGTTTAAAGTTGAGCGAGAACAAGAATATTATTATTATAATACGAAGTACGAAAATAATATAGAATAATAATTAATAACCATTAAGTATTAACCAAATACAATACAACAATCAACATCGACGACGAACGAAATAAAAATAAAAAGGCGGCCACTGTGTTAAATTTGAATTTAATCGTATAAAATCATTGTATATAAAAAACGATTCTTCGGCTTCAACCCGTTAGCCCCCCCCCCCCCCCCCCCCCCCGCCCCTACGGACGCCACTGATATAGGTACTTCAAAAGTTTCTAGTAGGTACCCACGAATAATATTTATGAATTACAAAAACATAATTACCATTAATACTTAACTAAAAAAAAATGAACAAACATTTTATAAATTTGAACTACGAAATAATTTTAAAATGTCGTTGATTTTGATAAAAATTGTCAAAATTTGAAGTTTAAAAAATGATAAAAATTTTATTTTACGATATTTATAAAGCAAAATCAAATTTCAAAATTTGTTTTTATGATTACATAAGAAGCTAAAAAAAAAATGGAAATATTTCAAAGTACCTATTTCCTAACTTGACCTCGTAAGTATAACAAATTATATTAATACTTATTTTTTGATATTTCTAGCCCCCCAGATTTTTAATCAATTTGTTTACACCTATGCCTAGGTGGTAGGTACTAGGTGCAATTTTAACTTTTAAAATTTCGTAGTGCAAAACGCCATAGACGCAATTTCAGTTTTTCCTGGGGGGGCTATAGCATGCTATAACATGTATTGGAATTCGGAGGGGTTTAGCACCTATTTTCACCTATGCATATGGCACATCTCTGAAAGAACGGCATAACTCTGCTCAGAATCTAAAATTAATTGTAGTGAAACTACGACACAACCATACAATGTTTTGTAACAATTTTTTTTTGTTTGACCGGCACACTAACTATAGACTATATAATAATACGTATGGATGAAAAAACTAATGTAAATGGTCCTCCATGATATTCCCAAACGCATAGTTCTTTCTCTTTCATATCTCGTCCCCTGGTTTCTCTCTCTAAGCGCTGTCCATTAGTTAATAGGTCTAATATGCCGGGTGATCGATGCTGTTATCATTTCTATCTTATCGTATGTTAAATTATTGTTTTGTGTATTGATCAATTGATCATATTATTCATTTGTTTATTCATGTTATTATATTATTGGGCGCCCTTTATTTGTTTATTATTTTATTGGCATTTATATCGATTAATAGACTCATTATTATATTATATTATCGTTGTATTATACTCAATCATTTGGTCACACATCCTCGAGACTAGTTATGCGAGTCGGAGTAGTCGACTACAATATTCGTATGAACTATTCTGGCTCAA